AGTTAATGGTAAGAAGATGATGGTTGCTCATTACTTTTTTTTGGCTTTTTTTCTATTTTTTAAATCTTTTCATTTGATGAAATTGTTTCTTTTTAAATAAAAAAATAAATAAGGCAAGAGTAATTGCATTGCAAGTACAAAACTAAAGGTCTTTTGGACTAAATTCATCCAAAAAGGATTAATCAGGGACGGATGGAGAAGGGCCGGGCCGGGCAGTAGCCTCATCCAGTCCACACCCACTCTTTTTTTTTTTAGTTAGGAAAAAAATTATATATAAAAAAAAATCATGTGTAGTTTTTTTTTTTTTTTTACATATTAGCCCAACTGTAATCTAGTCCTGAATCCGTCATTGGGATCAATTGTGTCGAGAATGCAAATGGTTAATGCCAAGATTTAAAAGTTTGGACCAAAATGCAAGATGAGCAAAGGTTTGAGACAATTTGCACCAATTTCCCTGAATCTTATATTAATTTCACCAGCAGCTGGAGTATGTAAGAAATTTCAAAATGATCATTAAAGTATTTTCCTTACTTTAGTTTATAACGGTTTCACAAATGATCATTTGATTAGAATGAATAACCAAGTTGAATTGTGTCCTACAAAAATGGAGTTCATTCTTATCCTAAAGCCAGCACATTCCGAGAATTTTTGACATGGATTTAGCTTTCGTCCAAGAAGTTTTCAATATTTTTTATTTCGATTGACATTTGGCACCCTGATTTGAAGATTCGAGAAAATCAATGTTGGGGACTCAGGGGTTAAGTCTTTTGAAGTAATAGAGATGAGTAAAATAAATGAATAAAAACGCGCTTGTCAATAAAATAAAGTAGGTTCGTTCACGTATCAAAATTAAATTATTTTTATAATTGATGAGTGATCTTTTATGAAATCTTAACAAAATTTAATGACTAATAATGTAAGATGAATACTTTAATAGCCAAAGCAATGTTATCAATTAAAGCAGCTACTTCGTATTTCGTCGAGAGTATGAAAAGCTCTCTCACACAATAACACATTTCAATATTGTTGATTGACAATTGAACTACTAAATTTGCCCATGTTTGTCTATCATTATTCCAAATAATTGTTTGTTACAGTAAGATATTTCACCACACATTCACCCAATAAAATTTTTTACACAAAAATCAATAAAATAAATTTAAAAGCCTGTTTGTCTACCATTAATGTGAAGAAAAT